AGCTAGGCAAAACTTTCAGAAAGATGCCCGCTATTCAGCAATTATTTTTTTATTCAATTAATTTAATCTCGGGTATGGTCGTCAGACGATTTTCCTGGGAAAAAAATCGAAGCTTCAGCCACCAGCCTTCACTGACAGCTACAGGTGCGAATTGAAGCTGTTTCATTTATTACGGCGCTTGCTTAAGTTAAGACCGGGCTGACAGGAACCATACCGAGGAACTCACCGTCTGCACGCACGAACGCGGAGCTTAAGCACATCAAGCATCCCAATAACTTAAAGAAAGAAACGTTTCGGCAGCAATCCTGTGCCATCCTCCGCTCCTCTCTTCGCTATGTGATTTTCTTTTGAATAATATCCCAGAATGTATGTTTGTCTCTCTTTGAAAGGTCCTTAATTCGTAGAAAGACCAGTATCTCCCTCGACAGGATTGAGTAAATGTTGAAACGGTATGGGCAGACTACCTATTTGGTTAGCAAAATATTTTTTTCTTTTTCAAAAAAGAAAAGGGGAACAATTCAGACAGACTGCACCGACGAGAGGTTTTATCTATCCAAATAGTGCATTGGGGTGCAAATGGAGAGAGCCTGCGAAAATTCACAGTAGTTTGTCAGTAAATACGTAATGGGTCAAACTGGAGCGCGTTACAGCGCGGAGGTGCGAACTGCGGAGGGCTGAGATCAACGGGAAACCGCGGCGCTTCCCCAGACCATGACAGAGGCAAACAATATAATGTCCTGATTAGATGAATAAATACACAGAGGAAGGCTGCACAAGCGCTGTTTTAGTGTAGTTTCCCGAGGAGCCGTGTATATTTGTTAGAGAATCGAATAATTTTACGGTAGATTCCGCCTAGCGAGCTTTTTTTGCCTTTTGAACTTGTGAAATTGCAATTTCTGCAGACCGTGAAATAACAAAATGCCGGATAAATGGTGGATCTCACTAAAAGATTACACATGGCTGTACCAAATGTTTTTTCTTCTCAGTGTATTGCCTTTTAAAAGGACCAACAAGCAGCAGTACCAACGATATTATTGTATTGAAAAGTGGATGCTGTGCACATAATGTGCTTTTTAAAGCCTGATTTATTGACATTTTTTAACAGATACTTTAAAATAGATACCGTTGTACGGTGATATAGGCCTCGTGTTTCAGTCTGCTGGCGCGCCCTTACTTTCGCCATCATCGCTTAGGTCAACACTGCATACTGGAATTTCGTCCTTGTGTGCCGATGCCTGATCACTCCTTACGCACGTAATGACTCGTACAGATGCTGCGTCATATCAGTGACTCATCCCGAGGAAATAGGTGACATAATCGTAAACACGGCTCAGTCAGGTAATCTACTATGTAAAATTTAAATCTTATAACTTAGAAGACAGTTTCGAAATTGATCTATGATTATAATCATGTCCAGTATCATGAAACATTATTATTTCATTGCAAAGTGGTGTTGCAGTCTAAGTGATTCACATTTTATCCGTTTATACTATTGTATATCATATCAATATAATTCAGGATGAGGTCCTTTCTGAAGGTTGCAAAAACATGATCCTTTACAAAACTTAAACAGCAAACTCTGCTGACTGTCTCCTTAATTACTACCTGCCTCCCATGCCGTGAACGTAGCGCATTCAGTCCATTAACAATGGCTATGGTTAATGGCATATGCCTCAGTTAGTGATTTGAATGTCTGAGTGCTTAATGGTCTTTTTGGGTGGAGGCAGTTTGATAATTGTGCTGATATGCTTAACGGAGGCCTGATCGCATTGAGCACAGTCACGGTTTCATGAAATAGGACGGAGGAGGAACTTTATATATCAGAAATGCTGGTGAGGTCTAGTATGGGTGTCTCCAGTATCACAATGGACCCCCTCCATCAGGTTTCACGTGCTCTGAGTGACATACTGTCTGCATTTCTGTTGAAGGATGGACAGTCATTGTCCTAGCCTCCTGAGACCCCACCCATTCATTTATGTCCATTGTAGTGGACATTTTGTTTTTGCATCTAAAAATATGTCTTATTTCCTCCAAAAGACATAGAAAATCACAATTAACCTAAAACTGAAGGACACTTTTTTCCTTGGGTCTCAGGAGGCTAGACTAGCTGTGACCATAGAGATAGTGCTACGAGAGGGCAGCATTTGAGTGCTTCAGGGAAATTAAAAAAAATAAATAAATATAGGTGTGACAGCGGAAGCAAAGTCTGAGCGTCTCGAAGGAGATACAGTTTGAGATGCTCAAAGTGCACGTTGCTGTGCTCCTGGGCAGAACCCCAGTTCACATTATCTGCATTGTTGTCTCAGTTAAGTGATGCACAGACCATGCAGTGAAATGAAATTTAATAGGCAAAGTTTCTTATTCTCGCTTGTTTGTTGGTACTTTGGACAAGAGCGTCTGCTGAATAAATAAAATGTAAGTGTACAGTCTGATCGCTAAAGGCAAAGAGTTATTTTTTCTGTTTCCCCATGGGATCAGTAAGGTTTATGTTAATCTTAACATTCAGCACCTCCTGTACCCGATTTCTTTCTTGCTCATCTGCAGAGACTCCTGCCTTAAAAAAGGATTCAAATTCACGGGATACGGGGCTCGAAGCGGCAGAGTGAAGTCTCCCAGGAGCCCGTGGGAGAGCCACCATAACCTGAAGGGACGAAGGTGGCATTTATCAGCATGTTAGTGCTCTTCTGCTGTAAGAAGTGTCACTGCAGTCCTTTAACAGAGACGTGTGACCGAGGAAAGTGCTACAGCTGGGTGTTCATATTTCAGTAAACATTCAATAATATAAACAGGTAGCAAAAATAACACTGCAAACTGTATGTCAATTTTGGTAACGGATAAATAAACCATAAAAATAAATGTCTTTGGCAAACATATATAGTCATATCCACACTGGGCTCAGAAAAGATGACTAAACTAATTGTGAGTGTTCCAGAGCATTCCAGAGCACATGTCAGCGAGTGACGTTTGGCGGATGCACGCTCCCATTCCGGGGCAGGATTCGCCCCCTGAACCTCAGCTGATCTGCCCCCGCCTTGGTCCGCTTTGGCAGCCTCCTTTCAACTTCCCAGACACTGATCTCGGCCTCCGTGTCCTTCTATGGCCATAAATCCCTACTCCAAGGCCCACACAGAGAAGGCAACCCCAGTGCCCAAGAGAACGTGCCAGAAAACAGGAAAAAAAAATATGCAATTGATGCCATTTAGGTTTAGTCATTTTCAGTGGGCTGAAATCACACATTTTTGATTAGGGTGATTTTTTCCAATCACATATAACATTTCCAAGATAAATATCTTGGCTTTTCTTAGAACTGACAGTCTCCTAACAGTTAGTTGTAGTGATGTGCTCATTAAGAACATATCGCTTTACACAAGGATATTTGCCAACACAAACAGTCCTAAAGGAAGTGGCTGGAGCAGGCAGGGGGTGGCCGGGCTTCTCGCACTGGCCGTGACTTTCCAACCGGGCGGGTGGTGGCCGGGCTTCTCGCACTGGCCGTGACTTTCTAAGCCCACCACAGTCAGGGTGCTAGAGGGGGTCCACAAAGTGGCATTGCTCAATTAGTTGGGTTAATGTAAGGTAGAAGTCATGATTATCCAATAGGAATGCTCCTTACCTAATATGCAGTCATGATGGTGACTGGTTCAGCGGGCTCAGTCTCTGTGCCTGTGAGCAGAAGCTTGCTGGTTAAATCCCCAGCCTTTGCAAAAGGCCCTTAACCCCCAGCTCTGGGGTGCTGCATGCTGGCTGACCCTCTGCTGTGACCCCCCCCCAGCTATGGAGAGCATGATGGATTGACAAAGAGAAGCATTCCAAATGTAACTGAACTTTTGTAAATAGCAAATAAACCATGTTTGTTTGTTTTGTTTGACTTCTACCTCAAGTTAACCCAGCTAACTGAGAAATCCTGCTTCATGGAACATGCCCCTGGTGTGTAGACAGAATTTGGGGGGGATATTCTTAGTCTTAACCACCCTGGTTGAGGTATGATTTGTTTCTAGAAGGGGGGAGAGAGGGTATTTCATTTGAGCTCACTAAGAAACACCTTTCTGAAATGTACTTACCCTCCCATTGACCCGCGATTCGCTTCAGCCTGTGACGTGTCTTTTCAGTCTCCCAGCAAATACTTTATATATTTGTCCCCAGTTGGTCTAAATGAATCATAATAGAAAACCAAATTAACCACTTCACAGCAAACCAATCAGTTTTTCCGAGTGATAAATTTTCTAACATGAATAAAAACTGAAGTCTACAGAGAATTTCCTACCCTTACCCCTATGTTATTATTATTATTGCTGTTGTTGTTGTTATATTAATCCTACGGGCCTCGGTAGGGCCCTTGACTTGTCTGTTAGCCTTCAGGCGAAGCTATAAATTCAGCCTCACAACTAAGCTCGTCACGTTAACACCCAAGGAAAATCTGTAGACGAGAGCATGCAAATGCAAGCCAAACAGGTGCCAACCCCTTTAATAACTGTGCGAATAAGGGCGACCTCTGGCGTCGTATTTAAGAATGGAGATGAATAATAATCCATCCATCCATTGTCCAACCCGCTTATCCCACAGGGTCGCGGGATGAATAATAATAATAATTATTATTATATTATTATCATCATCATCATTATTATTATAAAAACAAATAATAGTAAACTACCATTTTGATGGTTTTAGAAAAAACACATTATAATTTATGAAACGCCCACTCTCAGCTGGCTTATTTTTATTCCGGCTACATACTAACTCTCAATTTAAGACAGAATGAAAATCTTTCTTTAATATTAATTTCAATGCTAGATTATTGTGGCATGAAGATGCGATATTATTTATAAGAGCAAACCGTAGAGCCCCTGGCTTGCTTTTTATGTTTTATTAATCACGCGTGTGACACCGACCATTACTCCAAAACGGAGTTCAAAAATAAATTTTGTTCATTGCTACAGACTATTCATTACAAAGGCATGTGATTGGTTTCCGGCCCTATAGCACGCAGAAGCGCTCCGCCGGTACCGAGCAGCCGTCGGACTGCGTCTTGATCGCCGAGACGCTGCATCGTTCGGATCCGGAAGGGAGCGAAACGGCGGCCGGACATCCAATCGCGTGACTTGTGATGGAATTATAAAGTAGCCGGAAGTGAGGTCAGACAGACAGATCGTCTCCTCCATGTTATTATTGTTATTTTGACTGTGATGGTGTAGGCGAGGACCCTGGCAGACTCCTTAATAACACTTTTAATCGTCTGTGATTATTTATTGTGGCAGAAACGACCATTGAAAGCGACCCTTTCGTGTTACCCGGGCGTTCATCTCCGTGTCATCTCTGCATGGTTAATTTTTTTGTTGTGCTACGCTAAATATCAATAGGACGCCGCCACGGGCAGCGCTAGTTCTAGACTAGTGCTACCCGTGCACACAGATCTGCTGCCGCTGACATGAACGGCATCACCAGAGGCAGATTTGAGGTAAGTGTTTATTTTTTTACACAACGCAAATGGAAAGGATGAATCATTTTCTCATTTGTGAGACGGCGTAGACAATTGTCGCGTGTGTGATATTTGCATTTAACTGTATCGTCTGCTGTTCTAATTTTACGAGCTGTTGTCGAGGATCGACATGCATATGGAAATCGCAACTGCTTTATTGAACATTAAATCACTACCAGCTGACAGTGGTTACCGTCGGCGCTGTGTTGTTTTGCTGTAGAGCTGGGATCGATTTTTTTCGATGGAGCACGGGCAGATTCACAATTCGCCTGAGCATATATTATGCTTTTTTGTGATGATTTGGAAATTAGTGTCTTTCCATTTCACCAACCAGAGGTCTATTCACAAAGGTGTTAACATTGTCACGTGCCATTGACGTGTTTTTGGGGAGAGGGGTGAGTGACTCCTAATTGAAAATTTGATGTAAACATTTAGAATGAAAACTCTAATCGTCACACGAAGAATGCGCCTATGCTTTTGGTTTAGGTTTGGTGGATGGCGAGGACCTCGGGTCTATACGATGTCAAATAGCTTATTGTAGCTAGCTAATGTGTAGAAGCTTTACCTTGATCATTTCTGCGCTGTCTGGGCTGGGACATTCCCAGTGTAGACTGAGGGCAATCGGCCTGTGGCAGAAAACCGGCTATAGTATAAACAATGGAATTTCACCCTTAGTCTATTTCCCCCTTTTTTCAGTCAAAAATCCTGCCTAGAATGGAAGACAAATGGAATAATTTCTTTTTATCAGACGTAACCTGGGTGGACTGTAACATACTGACAAGATGGACTGAATCAGGACAGCTTTGAATGCGGACCAGCCGTATGTGTAGTCTGACAGTTCAGGGCTGCTGTGCTGTCCTTAAAGACTGTTATCCTGCTTTACTTCAGTATAATATAAATCTGTAAAATGGATGAAATTGCTGGTTTCTTCAGATGAAATCAACACAGTGAAAAATTTAGCGTGAAACAAGTTTGTGGCCCTGAAGCCCCACGGTGCAGTGGATGACCATATGACCATGTGACCAAGCTCCATTGCTGCATCGCCTTAGAAATCCAGTCCCACTTTCATTTGTCTGTTGTTTATAACCAGATGGTGTATACATACACAAAGTATCTTGTCCGTATTTTTTTTGCTATTTCAACCCACAGTCATCCGGTTCAGTTCTTGTCAGATCTGGGGTAAAATCTTAGTTTCAACTGTAGTCTCAATAGGAAAATGACTAATTAATTGTGTGTTTACAAATCGCTGAAGATCTTTGGGAATTTGACGCGGTTTTGTAGTTTTTGCATTTCTTGTGCATTTGCTGAATTAAAGTGGGTAAGATTATACTGGACTTAAGTGGGTAGCGTATACTGGACTCCCAGTAAAGGGATTAGGTGAGCCCCCAGTGCGTAGAGGGCGTATACCGGACTCCCTTAAAGGGATCCCCGAGTTGTGAACAGGCAGAGCTCTCAGTGCTTGTGTGGCCATTGTGCCAAACCTGATGCCCTTACCTTTAAACTCTGTAACAGAAACATTGACTTTGCGATACATTAACGAGAAATTGATCTGACACTGTTGTTCTTTTCCTGCTTTTTCCAGTGTGAATAGAATAGTAAACAGTAAACTATCTTGCCGTTTGGCAAGTGGCTCAGAGGTTAGCTGTATCAGTGATATTAGACAGATATATATCTGTTATTGGTATTGGTCAAAGTTTCCACATCAGTGTACCACTGCCTAACACCTCTACACATGGAGAGACTGTAGACATATTCATGCTATTCTTGCCTATGCCTTTCTGCTTTAGAGAGCACCTCTTGTAAAGAGCGAGCATCTGACCTGCGCGACCAATTCCTTTATATGAAAGGAAATTCGTTTCTCTCTGATGGACTGTCACTGGACTAGAGCGGGCTTGCATGCAGTGCTTCAAAATCCAGGGCTCTGGGTTAAAAAAACTGAAGAGAACGCAGTGGTGCAGTGCGATTTATTTTGCATCGATGGCGCTGGAGGCTGAGTGAGAAGGAAGTTGTGCAAATGAAACTTGTAAATACCAAGAACTGAAACTTGTGCTAACAACAAACACAAAAGGATAATGTGTCCCGCTGTGGACTCACTGCCTGGTCAGGGCGGTCCTGTGTACTGCCTGTCACAGGCTTCATGCTTCCCGCGACCCCGGGGGCTGTAACATCAGCAGATGGATAATCAGTAATACAATATTTTGTTATTATTGTCAGCAGTATGATTGACTTAATATATTCAGTGTTTATCTGAGCATAATTGTGAACACACATACTGGACAGATTGGTATAAGGAAGAGTGTACAGCCTCAGTGTACAGCGAAAGATGCTGTGTGTGTGTCCCCCCCCCCACCCCCTTATTTCTTGTGACAGAGTCCTTGGTCCTTGCAGAATCTCTTTTGCCGAATTGGAAAGATTCAGGCCCTCTGGGGTCGCAGCTGGCTGGGGGGAGCATTGCTGGGGGGCTGACTGTGCCGCTGCTGTGCTCAGGACGTGGACTGACTGGCCTGGGGGGCTGGGAGCTTCACACAGGCGACTACAGTGCCGCTTCAGGGCAGAGCGCTTATAGCGGTGGGCTGGCAGGTAGCTTCCGCTCTTTACCGCACTTTTCTGCTACAGCGGTTTCTCTCCGTTGGAAGCGGAATGGCGGGATTCTCCCCATCTGCCAGCTCTGCCTGCTCTCTCTGTTTTTTGGTCACTCTGTAGTGCAGAGCGTTAGCTAATGGCTCCTACCTAAGCGAGCCCATTTCAGGCTGGGATCAGTGACCCGTGCGAGCCAGCAGTGCGAGGGTTTGCACGGAGCGGCACGTACTGACGGAGACGGCCGAAGAGCTCCCCTGTGCTCAGGTTCCTGCCTCATTAAGCCGGCAAAGTCCTCAGGCAGCCACCCAACGCAGTCAGCATGTGAGTCACTGGGGCCAGGCCGTCTTATTTATTCACCGGTGAAGATCACCTCCGTCATGTCCGCAGCGAGCCGCGGAGCCGGCACTGAGCAGTCACACAATGGACAGCAGCTCTCGTCTACCCTCCCTCGCTCCCTCTGTCCCTTGTTACCTCCCTCTCTCTCTGGCAGGGCTCGCAGTCTGTCTGCTGCGCCTCAGGGCCATCGAGGAATCGGCGTCCCCAGGAACTGCCGTGCTTTTAGCATCGTTTGATGCTGCTTGAGTCCTGTATGCACAGTGGCGGCCTGTCCTCTGCCTGTAAGGGTTACCGTGAATGTAGGCTGTTATCTGCCCGCCCTGCAGTTTACACTGTCCAATCAAATGGCAGTTGTGTATAAAATAATAATGTGTTGGTCTTCTTTGCATCGTTAATTCTCAGTAGAGGGCGGTTGCTGCTGCTGCTGTGTGCTGACCATGTGTGACACCATGAGGTCTGCTGAGGCAGTCCGAGCTCTGCCCCAATTCTGAATTCCAGCTCCCATGTTGGCCATTTTAGGGGTACTGCTCTGCTGCAGTGTCCCCCCCCCCAATTAATAAAAGTCTTAATGTTTATGTGTTATTTCTTGCAAAAACATTGTCAAATCCTAAATTTAGTGTTGTTAGTGTTGCTCAATTCGTGTGTGTGTGTGTGTGTGTGTGTAAGTGTGTGTGTGTGTGTGTGTGTGTAAAATCGTGTAGCTGTCCAATGAAAAACACATGTCTTTGAAAATCCATTATTTCAGTTGCTTGGAAAACATATTTTTTCAGAAACTACTTCACAAAATAAACCTAAAATGAGGTAATGAGTCCCCCTTAGCACCACAAATGGAAACCTATCTGTACACGGCCTTCAGTGAATGTTTTAAATGGACTTACATGGATTGTTGTCAGCGAGGCAAATATGTCGGTGTTGACAATATAGTCACAATTAGCCACGGTGTTGGTTGTTAAAATTTGCAATATAAAGTAATTCATACAAGGATCAGCCACCATCATGAAGACAGACGTTACCTATAAGAAACTTAATGCTAGTTAAATAGATGGTTTCATAAGACATCTTTTCATTGGGTAATTAGATGTCAAACACCATCAGTAGACAGAGGAGAATGAGTGTGTTGTATGTTTCGTAAAGAAAAGTCTCAATTGTCAGAATTGTGGACATGCATGTTTTTTTTCAGACAGCGACGATGTATAATGATATCGAGCTCAGATTCAAGATCTTCAGCCATAATGACTTTAATCACAGAACATGTTAAACCTTGTTTAGTCGCTTCTGTGTTTGCTTCTGGTAATAAATGAGAAAGAGATAAACAGATTGGACTATTAGGGGTCATTGTTTGGTCAGATGATTCTGAAGCCAAGCTGTTTGTTCAGTTTGTCTGTTTGCTTAGAGGTATGTTGTTGCCATCCAGTCCCCCGGTGATCATTATGAAAAGGCAGCATAGAGCAGCAAAGCTGTCTGGCGTTACGGACCTTACTGCTTGAGCGCTCTGGCTGCGGGGCGTCCCCTCCTGTTCTGCCCGGGCGGGGCGTCCCCTCCTGTTCTGCCAGGGCGGGGCGTCCCTTCCTGTTCTGCCAGGGCGGGGCGTCCCCTCCTGTTCTGCCAGGGCGGGGCGTCCCCTCCTGTTCTGCCAGGGCGGGGCGTCCCCTCCTGTTCTGCCAGGGCTGCCGTGTTTTCCGTCTGCTACCATACTCTGTGTTATATGTGGGATAACAGTAATGAACTGTGCGGGATCCACAGTAATGAACTGTGCGGGATCCCCAACATGTAATTGCACAGCTCTGCCATATCGAGGCATTGTCCATGAAAACTGGGGGCCATTTAAAAGGCTGGAATGCTGCCCCCCCCCCACTCTACTGAAAATGTTGCCGGGACAAGCTGGGTGCTGAGTCCTGAGCTGGCCTTCGAGGAGGATGCAGCCTGTTCCACACATAATCGGCCGTACTGGGGCCGTCATGGTGACACTCACGTGCTGTTCATATGGTGGGATGGCCGTCCAGATTTTGTCGTTTTGGTTTTGAAAAGGGTTGGGTGATGTCATCAAAGCGCATCACTTATGGGGTGGACAGCCGCAGAAATGCAGGTGAAGGGATCCGCTGTATTTTCCGACTGCAGCAGCAAACACAGACTCACTGTAAACAGTGCATGAGTATAGATCAGCTGTGGCAAACGTGGCTCATAGTGCTGCTGCGGAGCAGAACATTCTGGTTGCTGCCCGGCTGTAATGAAAAACCACTGCGAACTGAATTTCCGATCCGAGTGTATACGATGCACATTGATTGCCAACCCCCGATCCAGCTAATATTCAGAGGGAAATCAGCCTAAAACCAATAAAGCTGTCAGAAGTCAATAGACCCATCACAGTACTATTAATGCATATCACTTTCGGTTTTTTGAAGTTAGGATCTGATGTAATTGGGTTACTTAGTCTCAGACTGTTTTTGCAGTGCAAAATAAATACAGAGAGTTACCTTGGAAAAACATTTTGAATATATGTGTTTACTTCAAAAGTAGGACAGTTCAATACATGTTAAATTGATTTGATTTGTCTCCCATGAGAATTCAATAGTAATGAATTTTCTGTGTGTCTAGATTTGTAGGCCTGGTATCTGAGAGGTAATGATGCACTCCCCTTCCTGCTCTATACTCCCCTGCCTGCTCTATACCCCCCTTCCTGTTCTACACTCCCCTTCCTGCTCTATACTCCCCTGCCTGCTCTATACTCCCCTGCCTGCTCTATACTCCCCTGCCTGCTCTATACTCCCCTTCCTGCTCTATACCCCCCTTCCTGCTCTATACCCCCCTTCCTGCCCTGCACTCCCCTGCCTGCTCTGCACATCCCTGCCTGCCTACACACTACTGGTTCCCAACCTGTGTGTGGTGGGCAGGTTGCACCATCTACCTCAGGAGTACACGGAACCCCAGTGGGTTATGCAGGGGGTCCCAGTGTTTTTTGTATTGTGCCAGTGGACGTGGCCTCTTTCACTTAAAACATCTTGAATGGTCCCTTACATAGAGTTAATTGGATTTAAATTTACTTTGCCTGTTCTGCTCTGTAGAGTGTCCTTAGGAGGGTTTGATATACTCCTGGCTGGTTCATAAAACATGTTTTTTTCCCCCTGTCCTTTATTGAATGTGACTCTCTACAAGCTTGTAGGCTGTTAATTGTCCAAAAAGATTTGTAGGCACATACTCAGGCAGCTCGCGCATGTGTTTGTGATGCTAATTGGAGACACCAGAAGATCACGTCAGATCCTTGTGGAGTCCCCAAGGACTTGTGCATGAAACGCGGGACTGTGGCACTGGTGCTGTGTCGCGTTTGGCCTCTGTGTCGATGCGCCGGGAGGTACCTACATGAAACACCGGCTGTCGTTTCTGATCCTCCTTTGTCACTCAGTGATAAACACACTGTCGGCAGGCCCTGCACACGTGAATGTGAAATCGGGCTTTGGTAGCCAGGCTCTGCATGAACTGACTCACTTTGGTGGTGGGTATCCTGCCTGCTTTGCGGTGAATCTTGAAGCTCTTTTTGGGTAAAGAGAGGGAGGAGCACATCTGTTTGTGCCTTGATTTCTGATGGATTTCATGGGTATGATGAGCGAGTGAGAGAGAGAGAGAGAAGCATGGTCCATCAGTGATATCTATTTTCTCCTCTTTTTCTGGTTTGCTGTGATGTTCAAGCTGACATGAGGATTATGGGTGAAATGCCGTGAACTCAGTGTTCAGGCCACTGGCTTAGTGTTCAGGCCACCTTTTGCTGTTCGGTTGACTCGTCTAGATCTACACTACAACAAATAGAATCTCTTCATGCTTTTTTGGGCAGTTTTGCTGGATGCTGTGATGAGGCCAGGGGACCCGTACCTTAGCGGACGCGCGCTGGGGGACCCGTACCTTTGCGGAAACGCGCTGGGGGACCCGTACCTTTGCGGACGCGCGCTGGGGGACCCGTACCTTTGCGGACGCGCGCTGGGGGACCCGTACCTTTGCGGACGCGCGCTGGGGGACCCGTACCTTTGCGGGCGCGGCCTGGGGGACCCGTACCTTTGCGGGCGCGCGCTGGGGGACCCGTACCTTTGCGGGCGCGCNTCCCCTTCCTGCTCTATACTCCCCTGCCTGCTCTATACCCCCCTTCCTGTTCTACACTCCCCTTCCTGCTCTATACTCCCCTGCCTGCTCTATACTCCCCTGCCTGCTCTATACTCCCCTGCCTGCTCTATACTCCCCTTCCTGCTCTATACCCCCCTTCCTGCTCTATACCCCCCTTCCTGCCCTGCACTCCCCTGCCTGCTCTGCACATCCCTGCCTGCCTACACACTACTGGTTCCCAACCTGTGTGTGGTGGGCAGGTTGCACCATCTACCTCAGGAGTACACGGAACCCCAGTGGGTTATGCAGGGGGTCCCAGTGTTTTTTGTATTGTGCCAGTGGACGTGGCCTCTTTCACTTAAAACATCTTGAATGGTCCCTTACATAGAGTTAATTGGATTTAAATTTACTTTGCCTGTTCTGCTCTGTAGAGTGTCCTTAGGAGGGTTTGATATACTCCTGGCTGGTTCATAAAACATGTTTTTTTCCCCCTGTCCTTTATTGAATGTGACTCTCTACAAGCTTGTAGGCTGTTAATTGTCCAAAAAGATTTGTAGGCACATACTCAGGCAGCTCGCGCATGTGTTTGTGATGCTAATTGGAGACACCAGAAGATCACGTCAGATCCTTGTGGAGTCCCCAAGGACTTGTGCATGAAACGCGGGACTGTGGCACTGGTGCTGTGTCGCGTTTGGCCTCTGTGTCGATGCGCCGGGAGATACAGTACCTACATGAAACACCGGCTGTCGTTTCTGATCCTCCTTTGTCACTCAGTGATAAACACACTGTCGGCAGGCCCTGCACACGTGAATGTGAAATCGGGCTTTGGTAGCCAGGCTCTGCATGAACTGACTCACTTTGGTGGTGGGTATCCTGCCTGCTTTGCGGTGAATCTTGAAGCTCTTTTTGGGTAAAGAGAGGGAGGAGCACATCTGTTTGTGCCTTGATTTCTGATGGATTTCATGGGTATGATGAGCGAGTGAGAGAGAGAGAGAAGCATGGTCCATCAGTGATATCTATTTTCTCCTCTTTTTCTGGTTTGCTGTGATGTTCAAGCTGACATGAGGATTATGGGTGAAATGCCGTGAACTCAGTGTTCAGGCCACTGGCTTAGTGTTCAGGCCACCTTTTGCTGTTCGGTTGACTCGTCTAGATCTACACTACAACAAATAGAATCTCTTCATGCTTTTTTGGGCAGTTTTGCTGGATGCTGTGATGAGGCCAGGGGACCCGTACCTTTGCGGACGCGCGCTGGGGGACCCGTACCTTAGCGGACGCGCGCTGGGGGACCCGTACCTTAGCGGACGCGCGCTGGGGGACCCGTACCTTTGCGGACGCGCGCTGGGGGACCCGTACCTTTGCGGACGCGCGCTGGGGGACCCGTACCTTTGTGGACATCCCCTAAACTTGCCGTATTGTAATGGTTAGAATTTACATTGCCTGCGCAGCCTGATCCAGCTCTCTGATCGCTCAGCTGTTAAGCGTCTTCAATGAAATGTAATGATCTGTCATTAGTGTAAAATGCTGTCGGTATTGGATGTATATGAAATGCACAGCCCTGCTTACCGCCAGTCCGAATGGACCATTAATCACATTATAGGTCTCCCCCTGTAGCTGATGTCTGCGGTAGCTCGCAGGCCCTGCGATGTGTGTATGTCAGCAGTAGATATACAGTCTAAGTACCATCAGCAGAAGACATAGATTCTAAGAATAGGGCATTATTCAGTGTACAGGCACTCTGCACGCCCTGGGTGTGGGCGCTGAGATTGCTGCAGTGGGGGGCCAGATTGCAATATTGTTGCTTTTTTAATTAATGGAAAAGAACTTGTGTAAATCAAATGGATATGCTTAAAAAAGTCTCAAACAGTTCCTGCTTGTGAGGAATTCTTTGTTTGGGCTACTAAAACGGAAGACCGGTTCTGAGTGTACGGCTACGGCACGCTCGCTGAACTGGGAAGGTGGTGCCGTTCGCTGAGTGTTGAATGTGCCATTTTCCATTGGGTTTCTTTTATTTTTTTCAGGTTTTCTCCAACAACGATGAAGCACCGATTAACAAAAAGCTCCCAAAGGAACTACTACTTAGGTAAGCTTTAAACGAAATGGCGGAAATGGGTACAGCCTGGTATAATTCTGCTTGTATGTCTTAATGGTTGATTTCCTCCAGTGGCCGTCTGTGGTGCTGCTTTGTGATGTCTGGCCATGAGGTGCGTGTGACGCAGGCCAGCCACACAAGAGGCCAGTAGCAGTGATACATACTTACAAACAAAAAGGCACACGGCCCAAGTATTAGTAAGTGTGTTTCTAAGAGGCAAACAAAAGTGTAGCCATTAGTCACGTCATTAGTTTGGTGCGGAAGAAAAAACAGAAGAGGTTCAAATCAGTGTTGTAGCCAGAACGCCCCAAAAATCCTGCTCTCAGTTTTGGAGAATACCACATTTTCAGTTTCGGAGAATACTGCATTTTCAGTTTTTTTTCCCTCTGTGGTAATTCAGGGTTTGTGCTTTTAGCCTTTGCTCTGTATGACGATGAGCTAAAATCCTAGAACCCTTGAAGGAAACCACCTGTTCTGCTTTATATAAACTAATCACTGGGCAAATTTCTGATCCACCGCTAATCTGCGACGCATGAACTTGCGTGGGGCCTTGAGCTTATTCGCTTAGGCTCTGCATGTTTGTGAGAAATGACTGTGGCTCATCTTCCTGTTTCCTTCTCTAACTCCACTGTGTTTGGTTCCAAGCCCATCCTGTGTCATGACAGATCGGTGTAATTGCAGTGCGGAATGGGAGAGTCTGGCGTGACACAGCTGAGCACTATGATGACTAGAGAAAGGGAGGGATTTGACTCCAGACTTTGCTCACGGCCTCACCTCTTCCCGAGGAGCAGTATGTCAGCTGTGTTTAGCGATTCAGATGAAGATTAAGCTTCTTAGCCTGCTCTACACAGAGCTGAATGCTTCGCTGAAGCCGGTGGCTTTGATGTCTTTGCATTTGCATTCTGAAATTTGAACCAAGATTTCGGTACCATGTGTCTAGGAGCTGGGCCTGCACTTTACAGCAGGTTCTTGGTGCCAGCAAGCAGCTTCAAACCCTATTTGATAGAACGCTGCCCACCTGTGTGCACCCACACGTCTGTCAGGATTCCTCCAGCGTCTACACAGATTACTGCTGCAGCTGCTGAAGGAACCGCACTGCATGTGTCCGTAATGGCTGTCTGTAACCACAGTAACTCATCCTGCAGTTTTCTGTGTGTGGCAGTTTGAAGCTCCACTGCATTTTTGCTTGTGCTTCTAAGCAGAAGGTTATAGGATCAGATCCCAGATGCATCTCTGCTGCTGAATTTCTCTAGCCCTACTTTCATCTCTGTGTCCACTTCTGGGGCGGATGTTGGCCAGCCGGCCTTGGTGGCTTTTGCCTGGTGTTGGCTGGCGTGTTACCTTCGCGGCCGTAGATGTGTAACGATTTGTAATTCGAGCCTTTCTGCCATGTGAGTACACATATACAGGCACCGCAGAGTTTGGGAAGACCTGCTGTTCAGCTGATTATTTCACCTTGTTCGCCAGCTGCATTACTGCAGGATTTTAACTGTATGTCTTTTATTATTTGGTTCAGGAGTGCAGTCACATGAAATTACCAGTGAGGAACAATTCAGAAGCGCTGCCCTGCAGTCTGGTGTTTGATCCCTTTATGGAGGGGTAACGAAACCTACTGATGATCCTGAGTATCACTCACTGTGTGACTTTTGACCTTGTTTCTCTGGTCAGGATTTTCTCTTACCTGGATGTGGTCACCCTGTGCAGATGTGCCCAGGTATCGAAGGTAAGCCGCAGCTTCCACAGGGCGAGACCCTAACAGATCACCAGGATGCCGTCTGCACTAAACCTTTCATTCCGTAATTTTTTGCATTTCTTGCATCACATGGTACAGAACGATATAATAGTGTTAGCTGTTTCTCTGAACCTTTCATCTTCTTTAGTTCTGCTCTTATCTTCGTGTCCCTCAGGCTTGGAACATCTTAGCCCTTGATGGTAGCAACTGGCAAAAGATCGACCTCTTCAATTTCCAGACAGACATAGAGGTAAGTTCTGCGATCATGACGGAACCTAGGGGACGATCCACAGCGTATTCATTTTATATAAGGAATGTACACTATATGGACAAAATCATTGGGACACCTGGCCATTACACTTACAGGAACTTTTATGACATCACATTCTAAAGCCATAGGCATCTATATGGAGTCCCCCCCCTCTTCTGGGAAGGCTTTCCACAAGATTTTGGACTGTGCTGGTGGAAATTTTTAAATTTTATCCAGAAGAGCATTTGTGAGGTCAGGCTGTGATGTTCTAGTTCCTCCCGAAGGTGTTCAGTGGGGTTGATGTCAGGGTTCCCTGCAGGCCAGTCCACCAAACAAACCCAACCATGTCTTTATAGACCCTGCTTTGTGCACTGGGGCTTCCCCAAACAGTTCCTACAGAGCTGGAAGCACAGACACACTCCAACATCTACCCTGCACTCCCCTGCCTGTCCTACACTGCATGTGGAAAGCCTTCCCAGAAGAGGGGCAGCTGTTACAGCTGCATGGGGGGGGACTCCATACAGATGCCTATGTGATGTCATAAAAGTTCCTCTGAGTGTGATGGCCAGGTGTCCCAATACTTTTGTCCATATACAGACTATTGTAAAGGACTGGATGTGGGCGTGGCCTGTGAGACAGGGCAGCTGAGTGGCTGTTTCAAAAGCGACGGGGCTCACGCCGTCGTTAGGCCCAATGAAGCTCCGCTTCGCAAGGTTTGGCCGGTGCAGATGGGCAAGCGAGAACTCCGACGCTGGCGGAATGTGGCGAAACGTTCACGTTGGGCGTCTCTCTGAGGCTAAATACCCTCAAATGTTTGTTTCACGCTGTGACGTGCGCTTTATTGCATTACAGTGTGTCTGTCTTTCATTAAAATGATGCCCCCCCCCGCAGGGCCGTGTGGTGGAGCACATCTCCAAACGCTGTGGCGGTTTCCTGCGCCTGCTCAGTCTGCGAGGCTGCCTAAGCGTGGGAGATGCCGCCATGAAGTGAGTCTGCTGTCTGTGGTCCTCTCACCCTCTCACTCTCGCACTCTGCTGGTTCTTCCCCTCTCACCCTCTCACTCTCGCCCTCTGCTGGTTCTTTCGCTCTCGCCCTCTGCTGGCCCTCTCCCCTGGATATATTTAAATCTCTTCCACTCCCCTTTGCTGCCCTGGCACCAACTTTGCTCTCCCTTGAATGTGACCGACCCCCCACCCCCCATGTTTTCATTTGAAATATCTTGGGCCTGAATTGTTTTTGTTTTCTTCGCAGGACTTTTGCACAGAACTGCCGAAATATCGAGCACCTTAACTTGAACGGTTGCACAAAAATCACTGACAGGTATTTGACCATGCAGTGTGTTTTCTCCGGGTACAGCCAGGGGGGAGAGCGCCCCCTTTGGGCTGCATTGAATGTCCATGCACACCTCATACATGGCCAAGTAGTTTTTTGGAATGGAACCTTTATTTTCTTTATTTAGTGTTGTTAATGTTGTAAGTATTCAAAAATAAAGCATGAACCAACCTGGTTCTGGTTTAGAGAAAAAAAAAAAAAAACGCTTTTTTTTTAACCTCACAGGAAATACTAAATCATATACACTTAAAAGTCCTCAGTTTAACCAGATCTTAAGGAAAATAACTGTTTGCACCATTTCCTTTAATCCAAAAAACAGCAATAAATGCTTCCGGAAGCACAGCCTAACAGCCGCGATTGACTTGCAGCCCTCTCCCTGTCCCCGCAGCACCTGTACCAGCCTTAGCAAATTCTGCCCCAAACTGAAACACCTGGACTTGACTTCATGTGTGTCCATAACAAACCATTCGCTAAAAGCGCTCAGGTAAGAGCCATTTGTTCCCTTCTTGCTTGTTCATGTACTGATGATGGCGAAAGCAGTCACTCTAAATCAGGGGTGGGGAACCTGTTCCATGGAGGGCCGGTGTGGGTGTGGGTGCGGGTCTTTGGGATGGCCTCTCAATCAGCCAATAACAGTGGGTCACCAGGATTGGAGTTGCGAACCACTGTTTTATTATTGGCTGATTGAGAGGCCATCCCAAAGACCCGCACCCACACCGGCCCTCCATCTAACAGGTTCCCCACCCCTGCTCTAAGTGGTATCTGTTTCTCTAAACCGGATACTTGACATTGACTTGGCTTTGAGGCCCTCATGTTATGGCTGTTTTAGCAGTATTACATCAATGCCTGCTGTCAGAACTGGACCTTTTATAGGAATCTGGAGTATTCAAGAATGCAAAGACACAGCTGGTGTTTAAGTCTGTGATTTACTGTAATGTCCTCAAGCCAGATCCAGGCAATGAATGACCCTTTAGACAATAAAGCATTTCGTACAGTAATTTCAGTCAGAATATCAATCCTCGTTTCCACCAACA